CTGATTTCGACTCTCTGTCGACTGAGCAACCCCGGTCTGAAGCAATTTTTGATAAACTCCTTTTTCAAGGGAATTCGTGGTTAAAACAAAGGCTGCCCTCCGCCGAAATTGAGCTCGGTACTTCCAGAGTTCTGAGCCGACTTCTTAGGCGCAACAAAATAAAACAAGTGTCAGTTGTACCGTTTCAATTTCACCTCCCTTGGTAAACTAAGCAGTTATTCCTTTAAAATTTGCATTTTTACTATTAATTTAATGGACACCTGTTTTGTTACAAACAATTAAATATCCCTCGTGTTCTGTTCAGTTGATAGTTGACAAGTGCATACACAAGTGAGCCACATGACTCACTGAAATGTTTCGCAAAAATGGGTTTCCGCTATTCCAGAAGGGCGAATGCAAAAGCTATCACTGCAGCAGTGTTTGAATTTAAATAATTTAAATAAAATTATTAATTTGGTCCTCTGTGTAAACAAAAGAGCTGCTTCATTCGAACGGTCTCCTTAAAGCGCGCGTTTATTTGTGTTTTTGCTTGTTTTCGAAGAATCCAGGCATAAACAAGTCAGTCAGCTGGTTGAAACCGAGCGCGGGGAGATGAATGAATTAGTTCTCGAATATGTCATTCAAGAGATGCGGACTCGTCTCTCAGCGTATCACTGATTCCGGTACTCAGAAATGAGTTCATTCTGTTGTCCCTTAAATGGCGTTGGCAGCCCAATATGTTTCCCTTTCCATTTCGATTTTTATCAAGGTAAGTTGTGGCTGTGCCTTTTTAGCGTTTCAAAACATCCGATGTTTAAACTACGTTTTGCTAAGCAACTGGCGAGATCATAATCTGGTATCGTAATGTCATCGCAGAGTGAGTTAATGCACGAAATCTTTTTCTGATCTTTGAAGAACGAAAATGCTTTTAAACAAAGCTATCCTCTCGCAATCAGATTGGCTAATTGCCATTCTTTGTAGTCATGTGGCTTTACTCTTGGAAGAAACATGAGTTGTGCAATTATATAGAAGTGAGTATGGTAAAGTTCAGGTATAGCATGAGCAAAAATTATTTTATTTGAAGGATCGTTAAGAACACAACGCTAAAAGCAAGAAGATTCAAATCTGGACTATGTTAGGTGAACTTTTGACAAGAAGATCCGCCAGTAACTTAAAAAGCAACGTTTAACTTCTGAAACAAAAGCAAATCAATGCGATATGACATTTGGAGATCCAAAAAATTCTTAAATGTCGTGAAAACGCGCATAACACATTTATACGAAGTAGACTCTTTGAAGGTCAATGTGATAACGAAAGAAATCGTTCAAGGCTGTACAGTGCTAGGAGAAGTTGTGGCACAAACCCTGACCATATAGCAAGGAGGTGACAAATGTCGTTGAGCAACGAACGTTAATTGCAGGTTCAAATCGAAACAGGAATCGAAAATGATTCTATCCCTCAGGATC